GTTTACTTTGTTCATATAGCAACAAGTTCTACCTGCGTTTTTAATATGTCGCTATCTTTTGACGATGAAGTTTCACTCCTCTTTCACACTGGGTCAAAGGTTATGAAGTACTAAGAGTAGCTTTGACCTTGTTTAGTCTATTACAGCATCCATATTTGCATCTAGTTGTTCACCTGGGGAACAGAGAGGCCGGCCACGGGGCTCCTGTGGATGCGGGTCACACTGATCGCTGGAGAAGGTGTTACGTAATACGCTGAGGTGGCGACCTCAGTAGAGAAACGTAAAGAATGAGTTGAATTTTAAGCTAACATGAAATCTTGGCAGACAACGTTGTAATAAATAAATGACTTAAGAGTATTTAGAAAAAAACCTGCCAACACTTTTATGGGTGGGGGACAAGTCACAGGGGAATGCTACCTCTCTTAAAGATTGCTGAACGTTCACTTTGGCATTATCTTGGTTTGGAGGTGAGGAAAGGAGACCAGACAGAGTAAGGAAATGTCCATGAGGAAGATGACACTCACTGGTTTTATTATTGCTATTTAATATTGCTATTACAGTAACAGTGCCCACTCCGAGTCAGGTGCCGGTCTAAGCACTTGCCACTCGTCTGATCCTTACAAAAGCCCTCTGAAGTAGGTTTTAAAGCTGGGAAAACTGAGGCAACATATGGTTGGGTGATGTTATGAACTGAATTGTACACCTCCCATCCCCCAAATGTATCTGTTGAACCCCTAACCTCCAACGCGACTCTATTTGGACTCTCTCCACACACCACAGTCCGCAAATCCTCTAAAGGTAGCCAGCTGGGGCAGTCACAGGGCTGATCTTGTCCTTGTTTGTTTCCTCTCTCCCAGGGATCGCTATCCTTCTTTCCCTCTTTGCCTGATTTCCAGTATCTTGAAAACTATTGTTTCATATGTGACATTTTCCTTTTTAGTTTTTCAACTGGGAAGGTAAACCAATTTCCTATTACTCCATCTTGGTTTGAAGCAGAAGCCTATTTATTCATACAATTAGCCAATTTTCCTTCACACAGATCCTGTTTTCCCATTAAATGTGTGACTATAATTTTTGTTGCTATTGTAACTAGACTATTTCCTCCCATCTCCATTTCTAGGTACTTATTTCTAGAGTGGAGAAAAACTTGATATTTGCATGTGTAACATGTGCTGACATTTGTCCTGAAATTCAACAGCAAGTAACAGGAAGAGGGACAGGTATCTAGAACTGGTGCAGATGCTCAGCAATGCCAACAGGGACCCAGGCTCTGTTTCACCCTCCTCTTGATGTTGACTTTTGTCCTCGTGTGTTACTTCATGGCACAAAATGGCTGCTACAACTCCAGGACTCATATATGTGATCCCAACAGGAAGAAGGAAGGGGGAAGCAAGGAGCAGCAACTCCCATATCGGAAAAGCAAAAGATTTCTCAAAATAAATTTAGCTTGTGTCTTATTAGCCAGAATTATAACATTTGACCACCTTTAACAGCAAGTCAGCCAATTGTTCAGCTAGAAATAGTATCACAAATTCACACACACGCACACAAAAATCAGGGTTCTGGACAAACAATAAAAATTAAACCAACAACTAACATAGTCTACACACAACTCTGCACTCTTAGAATAAGCACTGCTGAGTCATAGCGAATTGCTCTTTTAAATATAGTGCCAGACTCCATTTGACAATATTCTGAAGGTAATTTTTAAGGCTAATGCAATATTCAGGACCAAAGATCTTGAACTAAGATAGTAAAAATGGGAATAGAAATATTAATACATGGCCGGGCGCTGTGGCTCACGCCTGTCATCCTAGCACTCTGGGAAGGAGAGGCAGGCGGATTGCTCGAGGTCAGGAGTTCAAAACCAGCCTGATCAAGAACAAGACCCCGTCTCTACTATAAATAGAAAGAAATTAATTGGCCAACTAATATATATAGAAAAAATTAGCCGGGCATGGTGGCGCATGCCTGTAGTCCCAGCTACTGGCTGAGGCAGGAGGATCGCTTGAGCCTAGGAGTTTGAGGTTGCTGTGAGCTAGGCTGACGCCATGGCACTCTCTAGCCTGGGCAACAAAGTGAGACTCTGTCTCAAAAAAATATATATATATTAATACATCCTAGCACTCTGGGAGGCTGAGGCAGGAGGACTGCTTGAGACCAGGAATTCAAGACCAATCTGAGCAAGAGGGAGACCCTGACTCTACCAAAAAATGGAAAAATTAGCTGGGCATGGTGGCACATGCCTATAGTCAGAGCTACTCAGGAGACTGAAGCAGAAGGATCACTTGAGCCCAGGAGTTTGAAGTTGTAGGGAGCTATGATGCCACTGGACTCTAGCCAGGACAACAGAGTGAGACTGTCTCAAAACAAAAAAAGGGAATAATCAGCAGTGGTATTAAATGTTAAATTGTCTTTAAACACTAAAGCTGAAGTATTTGTGACATTTTTCTGAATTTCAGATTCATCTTAATTTCGAATGTCCTAATTAGGTGTTTAGCATTTAATTCAACATATAGAAAAACAATTTGGATTTTTAGGAACATAAAACTATTGCTGTGGTAAGTCTTTTTAAGTCTTTCAGAGACATATACTAGAATATTTATAGATAAAATAATACTTCTAGTATTTGCTGCAAAATAATATGAAAGTCATGAAGGAAAAAGTGGATAGATGAAACAAGATTGGCCATGCATTGATGACTGCTGAACACGGGTACTGAGTATATGGGATTCACTGTATTATTAGTCTTCTCTTGAATATGTTTGAAATTTCCATAATAAAACGTTCATTGTTTGTGGAATGGAAACATGACATATACAAATGTATAAATACACTTATTTTAAATGATAGTGTTAGAGATTCTAATCCAAAGCATTTTATTGCTTGTTAAAAGGGAACTGTACACAGTCAACCATAGGGGAGGACAGTTCTACTATTCCCTGAACATGGTCATAAGCAGCCCCGCCTCTGGCAGCCACTGCTATCTCCCTCGGGCCCACAACCCCTTGGCTTCAGACTCCTCAATTCCAAATGGCTCCCGAGTCTAGACATTATCAAATTCAAAATTCAAAGCAGCATGACTGCATTTAGTGTATGCTGCCAGCAATCCTTAAACCCCAAATGCTTCAATGATGAAATAGTTACACATATTTAAAATACTTAGAAAAATAATATAATTAGAATTTATACAAAGTAGATTTTTACAAAACAACTTCACTACAAGAAATACATCTTATATCCAAGCACAAAAATGTGGAAATATATACGTTTAAGAAACAACATTTTTATTTCTAAATGCTGAGTGGGAAAGCATAAACTAACTTCTGGATTACTGATAAAATTTCAGAGACTTGAATTTGCTAGCAAAAATTTTCACTCCATTCTCAAGCTTTAATAAACAGTTCTTGAGGGATTAGACAGCTGTTCCTCTTTCCAAATTCTGTTTAATTTCAGCTGTGTACTTCCCATAGAATCTTTCAGCTTTCTTGTTGAATTTGGCATTCCTTTCATTAATGTAGTCGATATCTGCATCGTCATTGTAAGGACGTCTCCGGCTGTATTTGTCTCGTTTTTCAATTCTGCGGGAAGAAAATAATTTACAAAATTCAAAACCGCCCCCTTTTTTTGATCTTACTAAAACATGGACACACAGTTAAGAATAGAATCAGTACAATTTAGAACACACTTTGGGAGGCCAAGCGCAGTGGCTCATGCCTGTAATCCTAGCATTCTGGGAGGCCAAGGCGGGCAGATTGATCGAGGTCAGGAATTCGAAACCAGCCTGAGCAAGAGCAAGACCCCTGTCTCTACTAAAAATGGAAAGAAATTAATTGGCCAACTAAAAATATCTAGAAAAAATTAGCTGGGCATGGTGGCGCATGCCTGTAGTCCCAGCTACTCGAGAGGCTGAGGCAGGAGGATGACTTGAGGCCAGGAGTTTGAGGTTGCTGTGAGCTAGGCTGACGCCACAGCACTCTAGCCTGGGCAACAAAGTGAGGGACTGTCTCAAAAAAAATAAATAAAATAAAAATAAAAGGCCAATGATACATTGGTAGGAACTCAACACGTAAAATGTTACTTAAAAAGAAGATAATTATTACAATAATATCAATTATAACCACCGCAGCTGATCATGAGTGCACAGTATGTACCAGACACTATTAATATTTTACATGTATTAACTCTTAGGGTTATTAATATATTCATTTTGCTCTAATATTCACCTCTATCAGTATTAAGAAACACAAACATAAATGAGGAACATTTACTAGAACATTCTTGTTTCTTCAAATCAAATAGCAGAGTGGCTGTTAAAGTCCTTAAAGAAGAATAATTATCTTTAGATCTTTCCCTTTCAATTGTACCAATTCAATTTCGCCAATTTTTGCATCTCTATTCCAAGTCACATGGACTCAGTCCATACTTGCTATCTATCCCCCAAACCACCATAGATACCAGGTCATAAGTGAGCAAGTGTAATTTCTGTGTATCAATTCATTCTAAGCACATTAGAGGTGCATATTTTAAGTCCATTTTCTCATTAAGCATTTAAAATTACAGGCTCCTCTACTGAGTACTTACTGTTTTTCCAGATCTATGACCATCCTATCAATTTCCTCTGTGGAAGGTACATGTGTTCCATGAAGAAGACTGTCGGATGTTGGGAAAAACTCTTCTCCACTGAAAGGACAGCAAAATGAACTTATGGTAGCACTACAAGTGTTCCATTTTCAAATCTCAAACTAAACTAACATTAAGAGTGAGAGATAAAATACATTAATATTTACTATGGGATTCTACTTTAAATTTTTTCTTTAAAAAAAAGAAACAAATATAAATGAAAAAAAGAAAAGAAAAAACCACAGGCTAAAGCACACTGGTTCACACCTGTAATCCCCTCACTTTAGGAGGCTGAGGCAGGAGGATCACTTGAGCCCAGTAATTGAGACCAGCCTGGGCAACATATGGAAACCCCATCTCTATAAAATAAAATAAAATAAAAATTAGCTGGGCATGGTGGTGTGCCTATAGTCCCAGCTACTCAGGAGGCTGAGGCAAGAGGATTGCTTGAGCAAGTTCAAAGAGTTCAGGGCTGCAGTGCGCTATGATGGCACCACTGCACTCCAGCCTGGGGAACAGAGCAAGACCCTGTCTCAAAAAAAAAAAAAAAAAATACAGAATTGGAAGAGACCTAAGAAATCACCTATTCCAGCATCTTCATTCTACAGATTAAAGAGCCAGTGGCCGGCAGTTAGAGAACTTATCAAAGATCACAAAGTATTAAAGCTTCTAGCTCACCACTTCTAGCACTATAACGGCACAATTAAATGGTTGTGACAGAGACCATATGGCCCATGAAGCTCAAAATATTTAGTATCTGGTCCTTCACAGAAAAAATTCGCTAATTTCTCTGTGAAGGCACTAATGCATTCTGCCTCCTGAAATATCTAAGTAACTATGATAACATGGGTCTTAACCACTCAACACCCAGTATTAGAATGCCCAGCTAGAAAGAAAACCAAATGATTAGCTTAATTGCTAATCAACTGCTGTGAAATGAACAATAAACAGTGTTGTCAAAGGTGCCACCATTCTCACACAGCTGCTGCTAACCTACATCTCTGCATTAAAGTATCTGTATTTATGTATGTGTGTAAACACACACACACACACACATCCACATTGCCTCAGGATAAAAAAACGACTCACTGTTTTTCTCTCTGTCTCTCATATGCCTCCATGTCAGGTTTGATCTGCTTGGTCAACCGATGATACTGGCGTAACTGGGCAGCAGCATAATCTAAAAATAAAATGAGAATCAGAGATGACATAGTTCCTTGTTTGGACATTACTATTGAGAGAAAAATCAAAATTATCACAAGTATCACTCATCTGAAATGCTTTGTTTCATATTTCAGATTTTTTCAGACTTTGGAATATTTGCATTAAACTTAAATCCAAAATCCCAATGAGCATTTCCTCTCAGCATCAGGTTGGTGCTCCAGAAGTTTCAGATTTTGGAGCATTTCGAATTTTCAGGCTTGGGATACTCAATCTGTATTAGGTAATACATGCACAAGACAATAATCTAAGCCATAGACTCCATCCTGAAGACACTGATAAGCAGACTTTTGATAAATTTCATCACAAAGAATAAAAGAACCCAGCTGACTGACGTGCAGCCTTTTTTTTTTTAATTCTGTCTTATGAGACAAATTTGTATTGTTCTTGGTTTTAGGACTCTTAGAGAACAATCCACAAAGGAAGCACAGGGACATATCTTTTCTTAAAGTCAGAAACACTAAAGGCAATGCTTCCTTGACAGCCTATTCGATATAAAGTTCAATAAAGGTCAATTTTACCTGAAAATCCCAGATCAGGGTTTTTCCTCTTCTTTTTCCTCTCCCATCTTTCTGCGTCTTCTGCACTGATCTCCAGCAACTTTACTTTCTCATAGTCTTCCCCTCTAGCTGCACATTCCTAAAAAGAAGAAAAAAGCTGATACCTACAAATATGATATGAGTAATTATTTATTTTAAATCAAGAAAGATCCAATGGGGGAATAAAAAAAAGAGAAAGAGCCAATAAAGTCATCAAGCAATATTTTAAAAGTGATTAATATCTGAAGGAAATTTGAGAGTCTGCTATGGTATACAAGAAGTGAGCATATGGGCTGGGTACGGTGGTTCATCCCTGTAATCCTAGCACTCTGGGATGCCCAGGCAAGAAGATCAGGAATTTGAAACTAGCCTAGGCAACATAGCAAGACCCTGTATCTCTATAAAAAAACAGAAAAACTTAGCCAGGTGTTGTGGCGCACACCTGTAGTCCCAGCTACTCAGGAGGCCAGGGCAGGAGGATCACTTGAGCCCAGGAGTTCAATGCTGCAGTGAACTATAATTGCACCACTGTACTCCAACCTGGGCCACAGAGTGAGACCCTGTCATTCATTCATTCATAAATAAATAAATAAGCAAGTCTATACTTATTGTTTATCAGGTGTCAGGTCCTGTTTTAAATGCTTTATATGGGCCAAGCGTGGTGAGTCACACCTGTAATCCTAGCACTCTGGGAGGCTGAGGTGGACGGATGGCTCAAGGTCAGGAGTTCGAAACCAGCCTGAGCAAGAACAAGACCCCGTCTCTACCAAAAATAGAAAGAAGTTAATTGGACAGCTAAAAATATATAGAAAAAATTAGCCGGGCATGGTGGCACATGCCTGTAGTCCCAGCTACTCAGGAGGCTGAGGCAGAAGGATGCCTTGACCCAGGAGTTTGAGGTTGCTGTTGAGCTAGGCTACGCCATGGCATTCAGCCAGGCAAACAGTAGTGAGACTCTGTCCAAAAAACGTAAATAAATAAATACTTTTAATGTATTAACTCATTTAATTCATAATTACTTCAATTATTATAGTCCCTGTTTTATAATGAGAAAAGAGGTACAGAGAGTTTAAATAACTATGCCCAGTATGTCAGCTAGTTAAGAATTTGGCAGTTTGGCTTTCAGAGCCCAGTGTACTCCAACTAACCCTGTTGGTAACGTTAATACATATGATTATTGAATAATCACTTAAACTAGCAGAGTAGTTCCTAACAGCTTTCTTTTCCCTATTCCCTCAGTTCCCATTACCAAACGAGCTTTTTGTGGCTTCCACAATTGTCAGGTAGTCTAATCTTTTATCTCTTCCACAACTTCCGGGTGATTTAATTTACGAGCTTCATTCATAAACCATAACAACAAAAAGTTTGTCAGCAGAAACAAGAAATATAAATCCAAACATAGTCAGCCTTAGATCTTGTTCTTCAAAGGTGGTCAGATAGGATATATTCAACAACGGGTGCATCCCATTTTATCCTAACAAGCCAACAAGAGAGCAAGCCCATCAACGAGGATTTTAAGCACAGGGAACTACCTAATAAGGTTTTCATTTGTACTACAGTCAAGAAACATGTGCTTGGACTGCACTGGTTTTGTGTTCCAGAGCCTTAAGGGATGTCAAATAGATATCAGGTTTTTCTCTGTCTTACGGTTGTGTGGTTTTGGTTCTGGATTGGGAAACCACGGAGGTTTCAAAAAGTTGGGAGAGCCATACTGACAGTGGCACTTAACAGACTTTAGATGAGTAAACATATAAATACACATGATTGTGACAAGATATTCTACTTCTTCAATTCTCTTGTATTATTAACATTAAGGCTAAAAGCCTCAATTCTGGCAGATGGAGAGCTTAACTACCTATCTTTAATATCTCTACCACTCTTTCCAAGTTCCCTCTCCATTTTAAAAATATTTTAACAGTTTAATGCTACTCGACAAATGAAGGACTTTTCCATTAGGAAGGTCTATTCTGTAAAATGAAAAACCCCTTTAACCCCTTGGGAAGAAAAGAGGGGGCATCCGAAAACAAACTAAAATTAACAATAAACTTACCACATAACAACAAAAGAGTACATCATCTCAGGATAAGCTAGATGTTTCTTGTCACAGCTGGTAACAGTTCATCCAAAAGTCGTATCTCCTAATTTCTAGACACTGTGTTGCTTACATAATCCTAAGTACCACGATAGTTTAAAGCATGATTGTGCTTGAACTGCTTTTTTTTTTTTTTTCTTTGAGACAGGAGCTCTGGACTCCTGTCCTGCCTGGGCAGCCTGAGAAGGTCGCCTATGGCACTCAGCCTAGCTCCACGCAACCTCAAACTCCTGGGCTCAAGCGATCCTTCTGCCTCAGCCTCCCGAGTAGCTGGGGCTACAGGCATGCACCACCATGCCCAGCTAATTTTTTCTATATATTTTAGTGGGCCAATTAATTTTCTTTCTACTTTTAGTAGAGACGGGGTCTCCTCTTGATCAGGCTGGTTTCGAACTCCTGACCTTGAGCGATCCTCCTGCCTCGGCCTCCCAGAGTGCTAGGATTACAGGAGTGAGCCACCTCGCCAGGCCGTTTAATTGCTTATTCCATTAAGCTTTCCTGAGCAAAAACAGATACTCTTCTCAACTACCATCCCTCATATATTCTTGGCTCTGGCAATGCCCTCCAGTTGATGACACCAAGAACATACCTATAGTCCAACAAAGTTGAGTTTGTTGCACTGAAGAAGAGAACAAATCATGGAAAACCATGGGCAATCCAGTGAGACACTATTAGGAGGGACTAGTTCCAAGATTTGGGTTTGTATCAGGTGATTAAGGGGAGGCTTCAAGGCTCTAGATTGGGCACTGTCAGAAAGCAAGGGCAGGTTGGGCACAGTGGCTCATGCCTGTAATCCTAGCACTCTGGGAGGCCGAGGCAGGTAGATTGCTCGAGGTCAGGAGTTCAAAACCAGCCTGAGCAAGAGCAAGACCCCATCTCTACTATAAATAGAAAGAAATTAATTGGCCAACTAATATATACAGAAAAAATTAGCCAGGCATGGTGGCACATGCCTGTAGTCTCAGCAACTCGGGAGGCTGAGGCAGCAGGATTGCTTGAGCCCAGGAGTTTGAGGTTGCTGTGAGCTAGGCTGACGCCACTCACTCTAGCCTGGGCAACAAAGCAAGACTCTGCCTCAAAAAAAAAAAAAAAAAAAAAGAAAGCAAGGGCATTCCATAATTAGATAGCTTAAATTTTTATATAGAAAGAGTAATGGAATGAGACTCATACTGTATTTGGTAATAACAGACACTGCTGTTAGAAGAAAAGGATGTGTGGTTATTTCTGTGGTTTGAACAATCTTCTTGGTTTTGTCTCACTACAACAGTCAGAGAGATGTTGGGGTTCTGTCAAACCGTGTCCTGTCAGTCAGGCTACTCCATGCTGAAATAGTCAGGAGCTGCTTTTTCCTTTCTCAGCTCCAACTATAGCAAACTGTTTGCTACACTCTTATTCCTAACATGAATTCTCATTCTCTCTGCTTGGATGTCTGTCCCTCAGTCTCCTTTATTTGTCTGATATTAAATAATATCATATTCAGCTTTCAAACAGTAGTTTAGGTGTCACCAGAGCCCCACATACTGCATTAATCTCTCCTCTTCTGCACTTCCAGGGTACTTTTTTCCTATCTCTAGCATGTATTTACCATAGTAAATTTCTGGCTATTAAGTTGAGTCCTGTAGAGACTCATATTTTTTAAATGAAGTAGCCGGGAGGTGAGGGAGGGTAGGGGACGGGGCAGA